CCTGCCTCCTGCAAACTAGGGTAACACAGTCCGCGTGCATGTGAAGAACAAACATTCACAGTTAGACGCTTCGAATGGGCAGTATGACATAGAGGAAGATGTATTTGTTCTGCCAATGTTTCACTTTGAGGCTGGTCTGGAAGAGGTAATTTTCCTTTATCCAGTAGGATCTGAAACACCAAAACCTCTACCGCTTTCTCAAGAGAGAACCAGATAAAAACTATCATCAAGAGAAAGAAGAAGAGGAATGGGCCTGGGGAAACGGAGGGCAACATGCCTAGGAGACCACTGAGAGAAGGAAAGAGGGAGTGGGGGAGACCAGATGGAGGAACCCCTCACACACATCCTGGCTCCAGGGGAAGAGTAAAGAACCTTCTATGCACACCTCTGCCCTCTGTATGCAGGCTTGAGCGTCAAAGTTTTATTTCTGGTGGTGAACTGTTCCTTCCTGCCCTTCCAAGTTTTAAGGGCATAGCTAAGGGGTTGCGTCTGCAATGCGCATGGCGTGATTCTACAATAACGTGCTCTTCTTTGCACAAGAAGATAGCGCTACTTATTCATCTTCGTGGTGCATGCTGTTTTCTATTCACAGGGGTGGTTTTACACTAATCCCGTTACTTCATTTCCTTGGATTCCATGGCGACCAGCTGGTCCCCTGTGCAGGCAGCTGCTTGAGAGTGCGGAATAGCTAATTGGCCAGCAGTGCGCAGGAGCCTGTGACCTCCACCTCATGGATTGAGTGCTCAATCATCAGCTGAGTGTGGGCTTCAGTCACTCAGAGCTGGACAGTCAGGGCTCCAGCAATGATTAATTGCCAAAAGTCATGCAGTGTCCATGTTTTCACTTAACCTCAGTTTGTTATCCATAAAATGGGAATAACAATTGCTCTCTCTCAAGTGTCTTGGGGAGGGTTAAATGAGCTAAAATATTTAAAACATGTACCTCAATAAGGAAACACTCACTCTTTGGCACCTCCTGGTAAAAATCAAATTCCACGGTGTCTTTCTTTTGGTAGTAATTCTTAGGTGTGTCTACTTAAGAAGTAGCTGGCTACACTGAGCAGTAAGCAGTGGCCAACAGAAAAGCCTTCTTCACATCAGTGTGCGAAAATAGGTGTGCGGGGGTTTATGGAAAGCCTTACACAAAATTTAAAGCCATCGGGGGTACAATCAAATATCTTCGATTGCACCTCATAGAATCCTGAGAATGTCCGTGTTTGGTACAATTTTTTGTCTGACTCCTTAAACCTACCTCTTCATTTCTAGTCTAGTCCTCTACCTCTGTTAAGCTGTTCTTCCTTTTGAATTTGTCTATTAGATTGTGCCGCTGTCAGAGACCTGAAATATAATCATACCCTTTACCAGTTGGTGGATATCTGGTCTTCATTCACTTTTTTGTTTGTTTTGTTTTGTTAATCTTCATTTGAGGATATATTTCCATTGACTTGTAGAGATTTGAAGGGAAGGAGAAGGGAGATGCTGAGAGAGAGACAGAGAGAGGGAGAGGGGGAGAGAGAGAGAGAGAGAGAGAGAGAGAGAGAGAGAGGAGAGAGAGACACAGGGATTGGTTACCTCCCGCACCCACCCTGACAGGGACTGGGGATCAAACCAGCACCCAGATGCATGCCATGGACTGGGAATCAAAACCTCCACCCTTCAGTCCATGGTCTGATGCTCTAACCACTGAGAACACCAAGCAGTCCTGGCCTTCATTCTTAATTTCTTTAATCATATTAAAGTTTCCATACTATAATTCCATCTCACAAGACTTTCAGAGAACACCAAAAAACTTTCTCTGCACAGATTAAAAATAATGACACTGAGTCATTTCCTTCATTGCTCTTTGAATTCCCATATAAAGTTATCTACCAAATATACCTTGCCTGTTCTACCAAGTGTGCCTGCTTAACAGGGTTAATGCTTGTGACATTAGTCACTGTTAATTGCTCAAGAGCTGAGATCAGGTAGGCAATCACTGAGTTCATCTGTAAAAAAAAGTAATGACTATAGTCGTATTAAGGAATAAAAGGCCCCCTGGCTACGAAATGACTGCAAACTATTTCAAGAGAATTGAGAGTAATTCATAGTAACAGATACTGTCCCAAACTCTGAAAATTCCAGAGAGCAGGCAGTTTGAATAATTTTTTTTATTTTTTTACTTTACCCTTCAATGGGTGATTGTTTTTCCACTTAGGAGTCTCTCTCTTTAAGAACATAGTTTAATAGAGTCTGTCCTACTCCAAATTCTGTGCTTCTTTGATTTTTAAATAGAATTTGTGGCTTGAATTAAACCCTACTTTTTGAAAATTGACTTTATTTGAAAAAGATTTCCCTACAATTTTTTTCCTACCCTGGCATTCATTGAGATAGAAAAGAGGAAAGGAGCCACACAGGTATTTCGGAGGTAAGTAGCTCTTTTAGGACAATTTCTCTCTTTGTCTCTGGGGGAGCTTTGGGTAGGGCTATGCTCTGGAAGAAGTTAGACTCTGGAAGCAGGTTTCCAGAACTTGGGTGTTAAGCAAATATGCACTGTCTCCAGGGCATCTGACCTTCCAATGTTGTACTTTGCCAAATGCAAGGAGGGAAACTACTGAAATCTGTTCTAGTTGTCATGACAGACAGGGCCATATGGAAAGTGCTGGAAAAATTCCTCCTTGGACTATAATTGCCTTGATGGACAGAAACACTGCCTTCCATCAGCTGTGGTATGCGATGGCCCAGTGTTTTGAGGCAGTGCTCGGGGTTTATTGTTTAAGGTCTCAAAGAAAATTAAAATGGGACTTTAAAAATACTGTTTGCCTGAAGGAGCTAATTATATTTTATTTCGTTTTATTTATAGTGTCAGGTTCCTTAATCCCTGAGCACATAATGTGTACACAGTTTGATGGTATATCTATATAAAAAAGAAAACACAACCAAGATATAATTATGTGATTTATTTATGGTCATATAGATGAAGTTGCCCAGTGGATGCACTGCTCCCTTCTAATTGAGCATCAGGATACCGTAGAAAGTAGTTGAGCATGGAAGTCAGCAAGGCCCTGCAGCATAATGGCTAAGGTTCAACCTCTGGAGCGAGGCAGCCTGGGTTTGAATCCTGCTCCATACATCTCTGTGCCTCAGCTTTCCTGTCAATGAAACCACCACAGTCATTATACCTAACTCGTCAGGTTGTTTTGAGAATTAAATAAATTAATATGTACATTTTAAAGTGCTTCAAATAGTATCGTGCATATAGTAGGTGCTATATGTCTTAGTTACAGTGATTATTTTTAAATCTTCATTATCACTGAGAATCCAAGATTTTGTGTCACTACACGTGGTTCTCTGTAATGAAAAAGCTGATCACAAATTTGGCAAATTCTCCTCTCTCTCTCTCTCTCTCTCTCTCTCTCTCTCTCTTTTCTTTCATTCCCTCCCTCTCTCCCTCTCTCTGTTTCTTTCTCTTGCTTTTTCTCTTTTACTCCCTTCACCCGGCACTCTGGCTTTGTACCTACATCGCGATACTTGATACGTCCAGTCTTTCCCTCGGTAGTGTTTTTAATGGCAATGAAGTGGGCAGATCCGAGTTGTCGTGGGGACGGTGGCAGGGCTGTGCTGTCCACATCTTGCGTGTGGAAAGGTAAATGCTTCAGTTGTTAGGGGCTCCCACTGCATACCCACCCCCACGCCCAACAGAGGAAGGAACATTTCTCTGTGCGGGGGTGGCTTTCATGTTGGAAGGGAATGGTTGATGGAGTTATTTTTGTTCCCCACAAATGGGGATGTTTAAAATAGTGCTTTATTCAATCGGCATAAGTGACACATAGACTATGTATAGTGGTGGAACTGGGCCTGCCAGGTGATGAGGGCCAGATCTCACCAAAACTGAGAGTCGTGGTTCTCCACTGATAACTCCCAAGGGATCTTTCCTGAAAATGGCCCGCAAAGAACCCCCATCGTGGGCTGCCGGGCAAATTCACTGGCACCACCACTGAGTTGTTTGAAATGGATATACCTCGGAGCCAGGGAACTGGGATTTTGGCTTCGTGTCCAGGGGGCCTGCCAGCGGGTCACATTTCCTCTCTGAAGCTCCCTCCAGGCAGCACTGTACTCACGAAGGGTAAGTGTGTCCGTTGTTCTTTCAAGCCTCTTGACTCGGTGCCCTGCAGTCTGGCATTCCGCCAGCGAAACCGAAGCAGGAGGCTGCAGCTCAGGCCATAGTTAATTGGAGGTTTATTGTCTTGTCACGGTTTTAGAAGTTCAGGAACTTTTTTTTTTTTTGAGGTTGAGTGGATACTGTTGTGAGTTGAAGCACTGTCAATTTTGACCTCATGCACTCCTTTTTAGTGACTATAATTAAAGTGTACCTAAAGCATTATGTTTTAATTCTTTGAAAATTGCCCTTCTGTACTTCAAGTCAGCACAGTGAGGATTCTAGAAGGGACTCTTCCCAGTTTGAAACAAACAGACTAGATTTCATGGAGTGCAACTTTTGGAAAAGGGGGATGGAATGTTTTATTCCTATGAACAGTTTTCTTACCAGAATTCATCTGATCTGAGGTGAACGAGAAGAAAATGCTTAGCTTTTGAGGCAAACATGAAACTTACCATATGTCCAAGGGAGATTTCGAAATCCTCGTGGATTGTCCTTAAATGGATTTGAGATGCCATGCAGAGTTCGGATTTTATTTAAGAACACGGGGGGAACCCATTGAGTCAGACGGGAGTGAAGGTGGCAGTGAGTGAGGAGTAATGTCACGCTTCTCAGACACCATTATCATAGACGCATAGAACCCGCATGCCTCCTCCCCCTCAACTTTCTCTTTCCAACTTAGAGCCTCCTCTGTACCCTCAAGTGTGTTTCACTGTGACTAGGGAATAGACACTAAAAATATTTCTGGAATGACGTGACCCACTCTCGCCCCATCCAGGAAAAGGACGAGGCTTCACCAGAAACAGCACATACTTTCCTTCCCTTTCTGGGAGCCCGGGGGTCGGCCTACAGATGCTGCTCCTTCCATGGCCGATGGCGCCCGGTCTCCTGGCTGCCGACGGTGCCAAGCGAACAACTGGACAGGACAGCTCAGCTCCAGGAAGGTGGCCACAGTCTCGGCCAGAGCAGCAGCCCCCCAGCCACAGACCTCCTTTGCCCCCCCAGCCAGGAGCCTTCCCACCCCCATCAGCCTTGCCTGGGCCCCGCCACAGGGGCTGAAGAGCTGGGAGGTGGTGGCCACAGGGGCGGTGGTGTCTACAGCCTTGGGGCCTGTCCAGGCACGCAGGACCCTGCTCCGGGCAACTCTTCGGCCCCTCCAGGGCCAGGGAGGGACCCAGGACAACCCCAGCGCTCACCACTGTCTCTTCCTGTCCCTGATACCGGGGCGAGGGCTCAGAATGGAAGCCGCTGCTCCTGAGCCGAATCCGCAGGCCAGACCAAGGGAGGTGGGGGACGGGGTGAGCGGAGCTCAAGATAGCCAGGAGCTGAAGCAGCAGCTGCAGCCGTGGCCTGAGCCACCAGCCTCCTCCCAGCAAGAAGGGAAATATGTGGAGATGTGCGCTGCCGGAGCCCAGAGGGAGAGGCCCCGGGCCATGGAACTGAGTCCGGAGTGCTCAGCTGGGGACCCAAGGGCCTCCAGGAGTCCCGAGGAGGGAGCCCTAGACGAGCCCAGCAGTCCAGAGGGTAAGGCTCCGACCCCCCAGAGGAACCCTGCTTCTGTGGAGCTCACCAGATCCCAGCTCTCCGGCACTGATGGCAGCAGCGACTTCTCCTTCTCCTCCGCCACCTCCTCCCCGGTGGACAAAGCAGAAGGGGGCCTTTTCAAGGATGAAGCCAGCACGTCAACAGGGGCTCTGGCCACCTCGTCCTCCTCTTTAGGCTTTGAGAGCGACAGTGGTGAGAGTGCAGGGAGCTGCCAGCCCAGGAAGGAAGCGGGAGAGGGAAAGGCAGGAGGAGGTGCAGGAGGACGAGGAGCAGCGGGGGCAGAAGCTGGGACAGAGTACAGGGACATTATTGCCAAGTCCCAGGGAAGCAGGGCCCCCCCCAAATCCGAGGAGGCTCACTACATCACCACCCACGAGATCCAGCTGAGCGAGGTGGAGCAGGACATGGATTTCGACGTGGGGCTCGCCTCCCACTGGGATTTCGAGGACAACAACGTGATCTACTCATTCGTGGACTACGCTTCCTTCGGTGGCAGCGACGAGACCCCGGGGGACATCACCACCCCAACCGAAGAGGAGGACAACAGCTGCTACCTCAGCACCACTCCCAGCACCAGCGCCCCCCGGACGCCCAGCCCCTTCAGCAGTGACCCTCCCCGCCCGGGCGCAGGCAGCAGTGGCCGGGACACCAG